GCCGCGGGGGGCGGGCACGCGGGGCGGCCAGTCGCTGTGCTGGCGCCCCCACGTCCGGACGGAGCGACAAGTAGCGCTCTGCCCCTGCCCGCGCCTGCCCGTGCCGTAGGCGGCCGTAGGTCCCCGTGCGCTGTGCGCGCCCGCGCTGCGCCCGCGCTCGCCCCGCGCTCGCCCCGCGCTCAGCGCCCCACGCCTGGCCCGGCCCGCGGCAGCCCCGAGAGCCTGGCGCCCACCCGGGCACAGGGCCTGGAGCCCCCGGGCCGGCCAGCGGGACGCTGCGGGGCCCCAGGACCTGTTGAGCGGGGCGGAGCGGAGTCCGACGCACCCCGGCTGTTCAGGGCGTGTGGCCGCCCAGGACCTGAAAGATAGAGAGGACTGTTCGGCCCACCATCTGCGCCGTCTGCAGGTCCAGCTGCCAGCAGGTGAGTGCGCCCGCCGCTCGGGACTCCTCCCCCTCGTGTGCCCTGGCCGCCCGCGGGGCCTCCTGACCAGCCAGCCTCTCGGCCAGCCAGCGCAGCCAGGGGCCCAAATGTCGATAAACGACTGTCCCGTCCAGCGTGTCGGCACGCCGCCCGCCTGCCTCCCCGCCCGCGCCACGCTCGGGACCGGGGATGAGGCGCTAAAAACAACCCCCGCCGGGGAGAGGAGCGCCCCGCTGCGCCCTCCGTACCCGAGCCGCGGCCCGGCCGAGGGCCCGGCGGGGCGGTCATGTTGGGGGAGGGCATGGAGGACATGGGTGGGTCTGTGTTCATTGGGCAAGATGATACGGCATTCCTCCCTGGGTGCGCTCGCTCCAACCGGCCGTTTTGCGCTTGCGTAACCGGCGCAGAGCACCCCGCCGCCGTGGCAGACACTCGAGAGTGCCCCGCGCGCGGTCATCGCGACTTTGAAAACAAAGTTTTGAGAACCTTCGGGGACTGGAGCGGTCCCGCGGTCATGGGTTTATGATGGAGCGCGAGCAGGGCGCGTTCCCACCGTGTTGCTGGGACTGCTGGGGCGGGGAAACAGTGGCGGTTTAGAAAATCTAATCAGCGCGCCGCCGTGTCGCGTCGTGGCGCCGCGTGGCGCTGCGCGACTGCGCTCCCTTAACAGTGCGCCCCAGGGGGGGAGCCACAAAGCCCCCCGGCCCAGCCCGGCCCAGCCGCGGGCACAAACGGCGCCTTAAATGTGTCCAACAGTTTCTCTTGAAACAAAGGCTTGGTTCCGTCCGGTACCGGCCGAGGGAGAACTCCGCCGGTAGGCAAGGCGGGGCGGGGCGGGGTGGGGCGGGGCGGGGCGTGTTCGACAAGGAGCTGGAAAGAATGTTCCATAATGGAGAGCTCCTGAGGCCGGTCCCCTCTCCGGTCCCCTCCGGTCCCCCTCGGGTCCCGCGCGCCCGCCGGCGGCATAACAAGGCGGCCAGCGCAGCCGCCAGGAGGGATGCCGCTTTTATTTTGCACCGCCCGCCCGCCCGGCTCGCCTCTCAACTCGGCATTCTCACGGCAATTTGAGGCAGTCTCGGCGGCGGCCGCGTCGCTAAACGCCGACGCCCAGGTATGCCGTGCCGTGCTCCTGTTATTTAATAATGACCGGCCAAAACTGTAATGAACATAGAATTTACCCCGTTCTTTTACTGCCTCTCTCCGTCCACCGCCCCTCTTTACACCTCTCTCTGTCTCTAACTGTCGCCCCTCTCTCTCTGTCCTTCAGAGCTCTGAAGCTCTGTCTCTTTCTCTTTTTTTCTCCGCTCGGTCGCCCCCGGTGTCGCGCCACGCCCCTCGCCTCGAGATAACAAGTGAATGTTTCCTGGACTCCCTGGCGTCTGGCCTCCACTCCGCTGATTCCCCGACCACTTCAACAACGCGCGCCGTGACGGTGAAGGAGTAGGCGAGCTGGAGGGGGTTGGAGCAAAAAAATAAAAATAAGGGGAAGATTTTTCGCTGGAATTGGCTTGACGGGGTGCGGCGGCGCAGTGAGGGGCTTCCTTGATTCTGGAAGGAAATAAACGAGAACCCGGTATATTGTTAGAGGCAGGGCGGCGGAGGTGCTTCTCCCGCGCCGGGAATAAATATACGAATAAGCAAGAAGAACAACAACAACAATGAAAAAAATAAAATTGGGCGCGCGCTTGGCATCAAAGGGAATGTTTAACTGCGTTATCCACTTCTGCTCCATTCACTCTGCGTGCTTTTCGGGTAAAGTGGAGCACGCTGCTGGAGTACCCCTCTCCACCAGCGGCGTACGCTCTGTTCCGTATAAAAATTACAAAACGCCACGGGGAATGGTAGCAATGCAAAGCAGCTTGGCCCCACTTCTGCCACCACCCGTTGCTCCCTTCACCTTCCCCCTTCTCCCCCCCCCCCCACAGCACGAACCTTTTCTTCGCACTTTTTCTCTTTCACGCTTACTTAGGCCTACGCGTACGACAGTCCCGACAAAAGCCAAAACCTCACACCACACGTAAAAACAAACAAGCAAAAAAGAGAATAATTTTAAAAATTTTATTCGGTTTGCCTCCGAAATTGCGTTAAACTAGCTGCCGCACCCCCAGCAGCAGGTCTGTCGCGCGCGGAAGCGCCTGCGGACGGCAGGGTAGGCAGAGCCGCAGCGCGGGCGCGCGGGCGGGCAGCCTACCCCTCGGGCGCCCTCCGCCGCGCTCTCTCCGCGTCCACGTCCACACGGCTGGGCGTGCGCGCCGGAGATAGCGGAGGGCAGAGGGCGGCGCGGACGCGACAGCCGCCTCTATCCAACCCCCCCCCCTCCCCCAGCCCTGTCCTGACAAGTTTGGATAGCCGGGGATATCGGGCGCGAGTCCAGTTTATAGCGAGTGTTCTACACCTCGGAGTCAACAGTCGGATCTGTTATATTGCCGCCAGCTCTCGAGTGGGAGTATTACAAGGGCGATAAAACGCACCGCCGCCCGTCAAGAGTGATACGGTAAGTCCCGCGCCCATTAGAAAGCGTCGTCGCTTCTGTGACCTTGACTCGGCACTTGCTCCGCGGAGGTTTAGTCTCTCCCTCCGCCCGGTCGGTGCTCGGTGTGAGTAATTGGACGAAAACGAGGGTCACGATGGGACTGTAACGTGAAAAGGCACTCAGAGAAATCGAACCAAACCTAAAATATTTTCACCCTACAAAATACACCAAAACAATTATTCTGTAACTAATATTAAATACTACGAAGATCCTTTGTTAAAACAATTAGTGAAAATTGAAAATAAGCCCTAGCACCCAGGTGAGCCAAACCATGAGCCGCCATGAGCACTCCCGCATCTTCCTGGAAATCTGAAACGAGGTTCGGAGAGATTTTGCTGATTCGAAAACGAACTGAATCTACGCGATTTTATATTTTCTAAACGCAGTCCACTTTTTACGAGCAAAAATCAGAGAAAAATATGGTTGATCGGTGCTGCACGATTTGGTTAGCTTCCGATGACAGCGGCCCGTTTTGCGTTTGTATATATGCCGGTCGGCCAGACAAAAGGGCAGAGTGGCGGAGGGTGGGGGAAGCGGGTGGTCGCTGAATACGAAAACAGGATAAGGACAAGGGCGGAGAGAGGAGGTGAGAGGAGAGGGGCCCCGGGGCTGGGAGGAGGCAACCGAGCACAAAACGATCACACTCGAGATACTGCTGTGCTGAAGGTTGGACTGCCGTCAGGACTGCCACCAGGTAGCGCTGAGTCACGCTCAGAGACGTCAATGGCGCGGTGGGGATTTGATATCTTGCTCCAGGCGCCATAGAGCTACCCCTCCCCTCTCCGCTCTGCGCTCTTCTCTCGGCCTTTCATCTTTCTTTGGCTTCCCATCCTCTCCTGCCTGCTCCTGAAGAGACGAGAGACAGAAGTGGATGACGCCCGCCGGTGGGAGGACTCCCCCCCCCCC